GTGCATTTGAGAAATGGACACATTAAGAAAAAGGTAAAACATTTTTTTTTCTTAGCTTGGTCAGAACAACTGAGAATCTTGTCTTTATGTAGAAACGGAGATTTTAATTTTTTAATTTTTATTTTCAAATAGCTGCTAAAATGAAAAAAAAAAAAAAATCCCAAACCCCAAACCCGTAGGTAACTCCTTTTTCTTTTTTACTTTTTCTTTTACTATTTCTTTTTCTTTTTTTAAATTTTTCTTTTCTTTCTCTTTCTTTTTTTTTTTTTCCTTTTTCTGTTTTTCTTTTTCTTTACTCCCTAGGCAGTATGAAATAGAAAATCCAAGAGGTAACTGTACCTGATCTGTGGAACATGTAGTTCTGTGGAATGGGTGCCATGATAAAAGAGCAAGAATCCCTGTCCTTACAAACTGGCATCGGATAGAACATTACAATGAAATCATAACTGTGTTGAATTTGCCACGGCACTGTCTCCAATGCCTTACATGTAGCTGGAGAGCAAAACCTAAAAGAAAACCAGAATACAGGATGTGAGAGAGGATGTGGCATCAGGCTTCTCTGCCAGTGAAGTGAAGGACAAACCCTCTTCTCTTCTCTTCAGGGGGTAGATGTACTCACAAACAGGAGTCCCACCGCAGTGACTTCCATCACATGGAGGATCCAATATGAATTTGTCTGCCCTAGTCTGTAGGAAACACTGATGTCTTTCTGGTATTAACCAGTTTATTTCCAACCTTAGCAAAAGTTTTCCTGAAACAAAGCAATGCCCACTGAGACACTGGAAGCTTGTGCCACTGGTGGGTGCTGCTTGAATTCAGAAAAGAGAAAAGGCTAATGTCAACAGCTCTTCAGGCTGATGGACAGGTTGGTTTTTTTTTTCCTTTTCTACTTAAGACATTTCTTGCCTTTCCAGTAAGCTACCCATTTATGAAACACAATTTTGTAGTGTCCAAGGAATTTATCGAAACTCCACAGTGCAGATATGCAAGTCAGGTAAAAGTATGAAATCAGTAAGGGTACGGGAATAAGTATCTGAGACAGGAACCTGTGGAAGGGGAATACAATGCCATTGCCTCTACACTTAGCTCACTGATGGATTAATAACTTTGTGCTTAGAGGTTCTTCACTGAGAGCCATGTGCAACAGCTGCTAAGGGATCCAACACTAGCACCCTTGGGATGAAGAGGAAGGTTAATTGAATTCTAGTGAGGCTCCCTTTGTGTTGCAGAGCAATTGAACAAACCAGGGCAGCCAGTTTCCCAGCATCAGCTTATGCATTGCAGCAAGTTCATTTACCGTGTGACTAAACTGCCTTCAATAGAAGGAATACATTTAGCCTCCTAAAGCTAAATTCAGGGAGACTGAGATAATCCGATTGGTAATTTTGACTGACAACTCAGGCCAGTGTTTGTTTTCACTTGTGGAGATGTTGCAGAAGGAGCAGGCATTCTTGGATGGGAGGTTTAGCATACATCTTGCTTGCTGGGGCTCTAAAGGTACTGCTACAACAGCGTGAACTCTTCTCTTGCTTCAGTTATTCATGGACATCCTTATCTGCACAATAAGAAGAGCTGTGGGGACGTTGTGAATAAAGAACAAAAAAGATTATTCTCACAGTCATTCACTTGCTTTTGGCATCTAAATCTTCTTCGGCTTCTCAGAAGCTGCGATACTGGTCTTCGAATGCAGACAATACTGAATGTATTTGTTATTTTGAAGACGTTTAAGCCTCACTGGTTCTCATTAGTTAAAACAATTATGGTATTTTCAGCCTGCCAGATAAAACTCAACTTTATGTTTTTTGCTCTTAATTCCGTTGGATATCTTCCAGTAGTGAATGGTTTCAGATTATTAATATCCTAATTAAAAAAGTGATTGTCTGAAATCTGACCTGACTTTGGAATGATATTGAGATACATCTTTGCTGCACGTTCTCAGACTTCCCACAAGCTGGTTTTCATGCGAGCACGACAACATGCACTACACTTTTTGCTCACCCAAGCCACGAAGACTTTACAACTTTCTTCCTGTGGAACAGAGCTCTCTCAGGGGATGAAAAGGAGTCTATTATTTTCATTTGCATAGGATAACAGCAGATTTAATTCCAGAAGCCAAGAGCTTATGGAGATAGTAATATTCCCCTGGCAATTTTTTGTTTAGCTTTGTCTAGGGTCTGTTCTTGTTTGAACTTTTCTCTCAGGCTGCCTGGACTGACTCTGATTTCCTAATGCACTATTTCCTCTTTGTGTCTCTCCATTGTTTGCGCAGGCTGTTTGAACTTCAGGCATTCTTCAGCTCCCCTCCCTCCTTCTTCACCTTCATGTGCAAATGTGCATTGGTTGCTCTGCTGCAGAGTAGAAAGTTATAACATTAATTTCTTTAGTTGGAGGTGCCATATTAAGGAGGTTTCTACCCTAACCTAGTTGCCTAGGTGCTCTAGTATGTATTATTTTCATATCTTCGTAACTCCATTTCACTTCCTAGATCTGCAAAAGCAAACTGGGGGAATACACAGGTGAGCACTGACTTCTTGCAGCCAGCTTGCCAGTTAAATTAGATGGTCCAGGGATCTCTAGTGTTTTGGAAAATACTGGAGGGCAGTCTACAAAAACATTACAATCTTTCCACCACAAATTTCCCCCTGACACACACATCCAGGCTCTAAAGCAAACAAAGAAAGTGGGTTAAATACAAATAAATAATGAACAGTCCTCTTTAGTCTCATTTTTTGAATGAGACTACTCGTGACAGTACTGATGAGGTTGGTGTTGCTAGACTTCTCACTAAAAAAAAAAAAAAGGCCCTCCAATTAGAAGAGTTTGAAAGCATCTTTTAAAATAATCTTGTACAAACCACACATCTAGCCACTATGCAGCATTATCACAGATAAGCCAGATCCAGAGAATGCAGTCAGAATGAAAACCAGAGGGAGGAATATTGCTTAAAGCAACTCACTTTTATTGACAGAGTACTGTAAGGCAAGGAAAAAATGCCAAATTTTTTAAAAAGAAGATTTGCAGCATTTTTTTTTTCAGAAAGATCTGCAGTTCAATATATTATTGAACTTTCTAAGATATTGTCTTTTATAAATCCAATATTTATATTTTTGTCTTGGATACAAAAGTTCAACTTAAACAAGCACAAAACAGAACACAAAATAATGGATTTGCAGATGAAGTTTCATTGATAGTTCATAATCTAGTAAACGAGAGAATGCACGTGTTCTGTTACTATAGAATTACAGCTGACTAGATTTAAACTTAAAAATACCCCAAAACACATAAAGAAACCACAAAATACAGATGTGTTCAATATGACTGTTTTTGAAAAAAATTAAACCATCTTCAGCCATACACAGGGAACAAATCCTTGATAGATTAAATTGATACAGAAAACTGTATTTTATGGCCAAAACTAATTTTCCATTTATGGGGAAAGCATCTATGAAAACAAAGCTGTATTCTGACCACTCTCCATTAATATTTTGGCCAGAAAACATTGCAAAGCACTGGCATTTGTCTGCTGTTTAAAGGATATATATTTTAAGTGGTGTTGTACATTAACTGTGAGCCTCTTACAAGATCTCACATCAGACCATGTTAGAGCAACCTATCATTTCCATAGGAAACAATGGTAACAGAAAGGTCCCAGCTATGCTAAAAAACCCAGTCGGGGGCCGAGCTACAAAATCTGCAACCTCTTAGTTCTTCCCTGAGGGAAGGGCACATTTTTATCCCACATTTTTAGACAGTCTTAAATTCTGAAACCAACAAACATAGCTGTGTTTTGTGGCTTTTCTTCTCCAGCTCTGTATCTGTATAGCATTGGCCTTTCACTGGAAAAACTTTTATGAAAGAAATAGATAGCTGCTTTTTCACCAGCCATAATGTAGCATTGGTGCTTCATAAAATAAATGAAGGCTAACATGTCAAAATAAGATGCAGTGGGATAAAGGGGACAAAGGTACTTATCCACAGTACAGTGTCATGCCTTAGCTTTGCAGGGCTGTAGCATGAGTAGTAACATGGGTAAGTAAAATTCACTCCTACCTACCCAGGCAAAACTGAATTGTATTTTAAAAGCTATACAATGCTACCCTGTAATTAGAACCCCCAACATGCTAATTTTTATCACACAGACAAGAATAAAGTTATCTCACAACTACACAAGGAAATGGGACCCAATTAACAGGAGAATAATGGCACCATACACATATGTAACCAGCGTATTCTGAAAATGAAGCACGTTTTTCACATGGAGGTCTTTTGCTGGATGCTTAAATGCAGTTTTAATGATTTTTTTTCTTTTTTTTAATTTTCTCTATGAAAATCAAGCTCGTTGCATAATTAACCAAAACCCAAAGATATTTACATTTTAAAAGCCAATCTTTCACCTTCTGATTTTAAAATGAGTTATCCTGTATCTTGCATATTTTTAAAAAAGGTCCAGAAAAAGCTTAGAATTGTAATTCAGAATCTGTACTTTGTAAAAATACTTCCCTTGAACATGAAGTCAGTGCTGACCTCTTCAGGTCATTTGTGAATAATAAAATCTTTCTAAAGAAATATTACTAAATAAGAAATGAGGGAAAACACAAAAAGAAGAAATACATTACCCCTGTATTGTAAAGTGTTGCCACTTTAAAGTATGGTATAGGTTGAAGAAAAACACAGAGATGTGTATATCAAAACACATTTTCATTATGCAGCTACAGAACATATGAAACCTTTCAATGCTCTGTTCTGCTAAAGGCAATATAGTCTCTCTGGCTTTGTTAGTACTGCTATTGTATACTGGTTTCTTAAAGTACAGCTAATACCTACAGAGGTGAATTCTAACATATGTGTGTGCTATGCTTCATATGGCAGAAGGATAAGCATTTGAAAAACTTATGACACTGATTTTAAAGATATTGTACATCACATGGCATCTTCAATTTAACATAGAAAATTAGATTGTACTTGAAGTGGTTGTTGTTGCAGTATGACTTAAATTTTTCTCAGATATCAAGAAGGTCCTCTCCACTCTCATCACTCTCCACAGTTAATTGTCTTGTCCACCATTTCTTGACTTCTGATCCACAAGAAGCAGCATCAGACATGGGATTCATTTTGCATACAACAGATTTCATAGTTGAACGTCCACCGAAGCGGAGGTTGACTGAAGACACTGAATGGCTTATTGGTTTGGGGGCTATGAAATTAAACAGAAAGTCGTGTATTAGAGTAGATCTGCTTCTTGAACATTTTTGCTTAGAGTTCAGGTATACAGGACAAGAGGACTGGGGCACATTTAAAGTGTTTCAGTATGGAAAGAGTATGGCTTTGTTTTAATGTGGGGTTTTTCTGCAGCTCCAGCTGTTCACTCTCCTTTCACCAATCTGCCGATAGAGCAGTTTAATAGAGCAGTGCCTCATTTTCTTCTGCTGGGATAGCTGATGCAGTAGGTCTCTTCTTACCTGGCTAATTGCAACCTAAATGGTTTAGGCAGAACTTACATGAGCTGATCTGCTTGCAAAATGGTAAAAGTGGTAAGTGCCAGAAAAAGGGAGGGAAAAGTGCATTTAGGAGCAGCAGCTACACCTAGAAAGTGATATTTAACTATGGCCTAGGGGTGGAAGCCAGTACAAGGTGCTGTCATGGCTTTAGGAAAGCATTAAAAAACATGTGTAAGTATATAAACCCCACAACTGATCTTAATCATGCTATTGATGATCTTAAATGCATGTTTGTAGATTTTGAGACAGACTAATTTATAATCTACTGGGCTGTATTGGGCATGGAAATAATCACCCTTTTCTAGATCATTCACTGAGGAACATTCAAGAATGACATGGCCAAGATCAGTGCTAAGAAAGGAAACCCTGAACTCCTCATTCTCACTTGAAAAACTTATCCAGCTGGCTACAGCAGTATGATTCCCCTTTAGCATATTCCCTCTTCTACTCTTTCTTTCTGTTCCAACAAAATGTTGATCTTCTTTGCTGCTCAGCAACATTTAAATGGAGAACATGGATTGAAAGCTCCCAATTAAATAGCTGTCCTGTTTCTTGGACAATTACTCTGGTCACAAAAGTAGGGTTAATAGTACTCATAGCATGACCATCTCTTCTGCTTCCACCTAGATATGATTAAGGTCTGAGTAGTGGCAGCCTTTGAAGGCAGTGCTCTGACTTGGAATAGGACTGACTGATAACAGCTGAAAGCAGGTTGATGTGCCCACATCTAACCTGTTGGTCATGAGTGTGGCCTGCAGCAGAGGTCAATATGCACTTTAAGATTTCAGGTAGTGGAGAGTACTCTTGAGATAAAGACTTAATAAGGTCTCAGACTGTACCTATGCACTTGTTCCACCTTCCTATAAGCACGTTCCTATAAGGCATAGTCTAGCTTTCCTTTTCTAGCAGACTGCAGTTACTAGAATAACTTGAGGATGTTTCCTGTTTGTGAGAAAATAAACGGGAAACTAATTTTATACCTGACCAATTCCTAGCTGAAGTGAAGATATAAAAATATATTATTATGCTGTAAAGTACAAATCACACACCTGTCTTGCTTAAGCAAGACAAGACACACCAAAGTTATCACTGTTAGGAAAAGCTTCATTTTCACTGTGCTTTATATGATAAAACAAAACTTTAAATGCACAAGATCCTATCCAAACATATGGGATGGTGCAGCCCCCAATCCAAAGATCCTGAGTAAATGTATGAAAAAGTAAAAAAACCCAACAACCTGCACATGGCAATACTTGAGCCCATCTTTCAAGCTTTCACAACTGGAAGGGAGGGGAGAGATCACCGTATCTCAGCATTCATGGGGGCAGAAAAAATCTGATGTGGGTGCAAGCAGCAGGTGGGACATAGAACTGTGAACCATGAAGTGTCTCATGGCCTTGATATTGTATAGCAGTGATTTGGCATGTGGGGACTTTACTGATACACACTTTTCACATACCTGATGGCAAACGCCATTGTCCAAATTTCCGTTGAGGTTTCCCAGCATCTGCAGAGTCTTGCCGATAGCCACCTCTGTCAGAAAGCGTTGGGCTAAGGAGCTGCTGCTGGCTACTTGTCTGAACAGAGAGAAAAGAATCTCAGTCACTGCCCCGTTGCATGGGGATAATCCCAAGAAGGGTTATCTTTCAATTAATTCTATTTCCAAGCTTTACACAAGAATGTAAACAAAACATATTGCCATTTGTTAAGGCAGCATGGTTTCTATTCTTTACTGCCCCCAAAAACTACTACTAATAGGGAAAAATAGAAGGATCATTTGGGCTCAATTCCATTATACAGCCCCACTGAAAGATATAAATTTTTTCTCAGCCTTCTACAGTGGAGCCCTTATGTTGCATCTTCTTCATTCCCTACCCTAGAAGAGCCCAAGACTCCTACTCAGAGGACACAGCATGCCTGATGTTATCACTCTCAATGTAAAAACTATTTCAGAATGCTTGAACAGGAAAACATTCACATCTAGCTCATGCTAGAGCTGAAAGTTGGTGCTGCCAGAGTCATACAGCTGAGTTTGCCCTTTATGGTGCTAGCAAGACAGAAAACTAAAGTGGGGAATTACTGCCTTAGACCATCTTACCATAGAATCATAGAATGGTTTGGGTTGGAAGGGACCTTAAAGATCATCTAGTTCCAACCCCCCTGCCATCAGCAGGGACAAAGGACAAAGACAGATCTTGCCTTTACACCTGAAGACAAAGACTAAAGAAAAACAAAATATTGCTTTCCACTTTTCCAGTGAAAATGATGTTAAAAAAAAAACCAACAAATAAGAAACATCATAGAAGTTTCTGAATTTGTTCTGATTAGCTGACAGTTTTCTGGTTAGCATACCTCTGGCTGTGCACTGTTATCCTGATTAAGAGCATTCATATCTTCACTTGGCTGTGTCGTCTCAATGCTGGGAGGATTCAGAAATCGGCTCAGCTCCTGCTGTTGACTCTCTCGTAGACTATGGATAATGCTGCACGACTGCTGTTGTTTCTATCAAGGTACAATATGTGACAACAAAAATGTTCTCATTGGTGTGTCACAGCGATTTTTTTTTTTAAATCTTCTAAATACTTAACCAAACAGTGAGCTCCAGATTTGGATACCAGGTGTATCAATAAAGCCATATGTATCAGATGGTTGCTATTTAAATAACATGACTTCTGGCATATGTCTAACCTTAATGTAGGAAATAGAGGATGAAACTTATCAACTATATTAAGTGCAAGGCAGGTTGCTCAACTGTTGGTTTAAACCCATAGATTAAAAATATATAAAGTTTAGAGTTTATGAGTTAAAAGTTCTTGCAAATAAAAAAGAAACAAGGAAATTGGTAGAGATTCATTAAGAATTACATGAAGGCAATGAAAAAATTCTGATTTCTTTCATGGTATTTGGAACAGGCTGTCAATAAGACAACAAAACAGTAGTGGAAACCTTGGGACTGAGTATAGGTTTACAGTACAAATAGAAAACCACAATCACTACCATTATGATCTTAGAATCTAATTTGCTTTTAAATTAAAATAAACAGCTCTTAGGAAGGATTTCACTTTCCTGGGTAGTTTTCACATGCTCCCTCTAGAGAGACTTAGAGACTAACGAGAGAATTTGAAAATATATAATAACTTCCATAATTACATTGAGTTTATAAAAGGTTCATATAATGCGAAATGATCTGAACCATATTATTAGAGTGGAATGAATAGCATATTTACTTTAACATAGTGTAATTCAATATCATGAAATGAACAACAGAGTTGAACAAACCCAGAATTGAGAGCTGAGATTAAATTTACTGCCATTATTATTACAGAGATGAGATAAAAATGAAACTATCTATCTGAATATGCCTTGAACATTGATGCTTCAGCTGGAATGTACGTTACACTCAAATTGTCAAGTTATGTTTTTTTATGAATTTACAAACAGAAAAAGCCACATTCCATGACCACAGTTGTCTATGGAAAACCTGCACACACAAGAAGTAAGTGTTTACAAAAATAAAAAATATATGCATCAAAAGGACCCAGGCTCACAATAACTGAAAAAAATCAGTCATCAAGGCAACCAGGCTGTGGCTTTATATATAAAGGAAGAATTGGTTTTGGAAGAAAAGAGGAGAATAACTGCAAAACCCAATTCAAATTTCCTGAAAATTTTTAATAGAAATTTCATCCAAGACAAACTTTGATCAGCATATATTGCAGCTATCCTGAGCAAAGGCAAAAATGTTTCTGACCACCAGAAGCACCGCATAAATGGAATACAGAAGCACTGGCTAGGTCTACACTAATAAATTAAACAGATTCGGATTTCCTGCAGTGTTGAAGCCAAATGACAGGCCAGGGCTTGCATGATCTGGCCTCTACCACACAAGACAGCTTCAAGCACTGCCTATGGGAGCAGTCTCCACGCTGCTGCATGCCCGGAGGGCAGCAAGGCTCCTATGGCAGTGGTCTGGGATTCAATATGGCAGCAGTTTGGGAGAGTATGGCCAAAACTGTGCTGAGGAGCAGGCTAATGAGTATAGGTGACCCCAACCCAGTCCTGAGCCAAAGCCTTGGCCCTGCTTAATTTCCTGGCATAGACACGGCTACTGTGTGCCACGGTTCATATACCTGATTTGCATGTTCATGTTGCTCATTTGCACACAAAGAGTTACGGCTCTGTAATGGCTCATTCAAATGATGCATCTTGATACAGACTCCATATCTGCTGGTGACTGATCATGGTATCTTCTGCCAGCAGAGGCAAGGAAATTATACAATTACATTCTGTGAGAAGGGATTAGGCCTATGATGTCTCACCAAATGACATTGTTTTTTCTTTATACCTTTGACTTTGGTCTCTGCACATGCATGCTCCTGCTGTATTGAAAAGACAGATAAATTTTGGCAGGAAGACACTTTTTACCTTCAAAAGATGGTTATTTTTGTAGCACTTTCTGTTGAGCTGTAACATACTTTTTTTTTTTGCTGCATTAGCAACTGCTGCATACTTGACATAAATATTATCATGACTCCAGAGTGAATAAGCAGAGTGACAGCAAATTTCAGCATTGTTGAGCAGCAGAATTTCTGCAACTATTTAAATCCTGCTTTAGCTTGACTTACTGCTCTGATTCGCTTTAAGCACTTCTTCAGCCACATGCGTATGGTCTGTTTGGCTACCTCCTCTTCTATGGTATATTCCAGTTGTTCTCTAGCAAGCAGCTCTTCCAGTTGAAGACTTTTTCTGATATCAACAGACCTATATGAAAGCATGCTGGAAGAAACACAGTTGGTTTTTCGTTTTGTTTTGGGTTTTTTTTAATATGTTGGTGACCTTACATTTTAAGTTAAAAAATCGAAGATCATACTTAGGACCTTAGTGTAAAAATATGTAATTCAAGTGTGTGCAATAAATTCGTCTTTGAAGCTAAAAAATGTTGAGATGATTCCAGAAGAGACTTGTGGTACTCAGAACAAATGAAGACCTTTTCACCTGCAACTAGCTATCCAATACAAGTGAGCTGCTGAACTGTAAGCAGCTAGGGCATTTGTGGGGGGTTGTTCCCCTTATCCACCCCACAAGTGTTTATGCTTGGATAATATTCCCATTTCTATTTTATTTCTAGTCAGATTCACTGTGTGTTGCTACATGAGTGGGGACATTTCATTGCTTGGGATACAAGAACAATATGTGACTGCTGTTTATGACAAACTGTCTCCAATGAAAATGTTAAAATTACTTAGAGCTGATTCCCTAGGACCTGTGTGTTTTCCATCACTAATATTTTTGCAGGAAAAAAAGGGAAATGTAATTTTGTATTACATTTAAAATGGCAGTGCCTCTGTGGCTACCAGTCTTGCCTTTTCCCAAGCTTAATGAACATCTGTTTATCCTGGAGAGAAATACAGGCCATTATACCTGTTCTAAAAATTTAGAGAAAATCTCAGAGTACCTGAGCACATCATGGAAGGTGACATCACCACCATTATGGAGCCGTTCCATTTCGTAGCACATGTGCTTGAACAGCAGCTTGTCCTTGTCGAGATCCACCTCCAGCCTGCCCCGCAGAAGCCTCAGCAGAAATTTCACTCGGAAGGTAGGGATTACTCCCTGGGTAAAATTGCACAATAGATGGTAAATTATTACTGTGACATAACAACCAAGTCAGACATTCAACTTGATCAGTGAGAGAATCACTATTTCTCCAAAGACTCTGTGTCAAATCCTGGTCTATTTAAGTCACTGTGAATACATTACTGAAGAATATACAAATGCAGCCAGCTCTTCAGCACACTCATGGAAGTCTTTGTTGTTATTTGACTGCTGTACAATGAGAATCTGTGCTGATAATTTTCTCAGAAATGTTCAAAATTGCTTGGGGGTTTAGTTTCCCCCTTTGCATTAATCTGTAATGAGAATTATATGCCCAAGGAGCTGCCTTTGAAAAACTGACATTAAACTACAATTTAAGCATTCACAGCCAGGCCTATACGTGGCTACAAACCTGTCCCCTTCTCTGTGCATCTTTGGCCAGGAGAATGTTAGGAGTTTACTATCTTTTCAAAGGTCTTCTGCTCTAAGAGTCAACTGAGCACATGTTGCACTTCTTGTGACAACACTTTTGATATGCTGTTAAAAAATTAGGACTGAAAATATTACCTTTTGAAACTGTAGTATCCATATTCTAAATATTTTGTTCTGCTAAATGAGCCTCACTGGAACTATTTTTGCTGTAATGTGTTTTTCCATATCAGAAAGAGATACTCTCGGTGCTGGGCACGATGGATGTAGAACTCTCCACTTCCATCAGTAGAGACTGTGGCTTCCGTCTCAAGCACAGCCATGTGCCAACTACTTTACCATTATGTTGTTCATATTCAAATCTTAGTGATGTCATGAATCATTCAGATGTGAGTATCTGAACAGCTCAGTCTCCCAGATGCTCTTCTCATCCCAGAATCACAGCATGGTTAAGGTTGGAAGTAACTTCTGGAGGCCACCTTTTCTGACCCCCTCTGCTCAAGCTGGGCCTCCTAAAGTCAGTTACGCAGGACTGTGTCTAGATGACTTCTGAATATCTCCAAGGATGGAGACTCCACAATCTCCCTGGGTAACCTGTGCCAGTGCTCAGTCACCCTCACTATGAAAGTCTTTCCTGATGTTCAGAGGGAACCTCCTGTATTCCAACTTGTGCCCATTGCCTCTGGTCCCGTCACTGGGCACCACTGAGCTGAGCCTGGCTCTGTCATCTTTGCACCCTCCCTTCAGGTATTTATATACATTGATGAGATCCCCTTGAGCCTTCTCTTCTCCAGCCTGAACAGTCCCAGCTCTCTCAGCCTCTCCTCACAGGAGATATGCTCCAGTCCCTTCTTTATCTTTGTGTACCTTTGCTGGACTCTCCAGTATGTCTATGTCCCTGTTGTACAGAGGAGCCCAGAACTGGACCCAGGACTCCAGGTGTGGCCTCATCAGTGCTGAGCAGAGGGGAAGGATCCTCTTCCTTGGCCTGCTGGCAATACTTTGCCTAATGCATCCCAGGACACCATTGGCCCTCTTTGCCACAAGGGCACGTTGCTGGCTCATGTTCAACTTGCTGTCCACCAGGACTCCCAGGTCCTTTCCTGCCAAGCTGCTTTCCATCCAGTCAGCCCCCAGCATGTACTGGTTGTTCTTCCTCAGGTGCAGGACTTTGCACTTTCCTTCATTGAATTGCATAAGGCTCCTATTGTCCCATTTCTCCAGCCTGCTTAAGTCCCTCTGGATGGCAGCACAGCCTTCTGCTGTATCAGCAACTCCTCCCAGTCTGGTGTCATCTGCAAACTTGCTGTGGGTGTACTCTGCCCCATCATTCAGATCATTAATAAAGATGTTTAACAAGACTGGATCCAATATTGATGCCTGGGGTACACCACTAGTTACTGGTCTCCAACTAGACTCTGTGCTGCTGATTATCAACCTCTGGGCCTGACAATTCAGCCAGGTTCAGTCCACCCCATCATCTTCTCATCCAGCCCCTACTTCATCAGCTTCTCTATGAGGATCTTCTAGGAGACAGTGCTGAAATCTCAGCAAAGTCCTTCTGAAGATCAGGCAGACAGACGGATGTAAGTCAGTAGACTTCCAAGGGAACAACTTGGGGAGCTGGGAGGAAAGCTGCTACTGTGTTGATCCCATGAACATCTACATTTGTTTTAAAATCTACTATTATAAGTACTTCACAGAAGTAGAGAATACAGGTTAGTATTTGAGGGGCCATGAACAGTGTTAGGCCATGCTCACTGCACTTTCACAACCTGAACAGCAACTGCTTAGTCAGTTTTGTCAGCACATTTTGTTTCCCCCATATGTTTTTTCAAGGAAAAATGTAAATTTACTGTATTTCTGCACTCATTATCAAGTTTCTTACCTCTCTTTTGTCATCAACCATGTTCCATATAATCTGAAAATGCCTAAGATCATTGTAACTTAAAAGTTGGTCTTCTTCGGTTGAATAAAACAATGAGAAATTCTCCACAATGATAGCTGAAAACCACAAAACCAAAATACTCTGTAAGAAGCCTGTAGTCACATTCTAACTGGTTAATCTCTATAAGTAACAATGAATGTCAACAGAATATGAATTCTGTTGTGCAGACTTCAAATTAATAAATGCCGTTAGCTGTATATTCAGACGAGGATTCTGAACAGGTAATATACTGTCATGCTACATCAATATTCACTGTGCTTATGTCTTAAAAGTTGCATCTTAAATGCTGGTGAGATGCCTAATTTAACATCTTCTAAAATCCATTAAAAGAATTCCAGCAACATTGGGAAAACGTTAACTGGAGGAAGGAAAAGCTCAGAAAATAATATTCCTTACGGTAACTACACTTTACAAATAAAACACAACTCTTTCTTTGTTCAAAAAACTTCCATTCCCAAAATTCCTGAGTTTTAGCATAAAACATGCCAGAGAAGTATCAAAAACATCATATGCATATAAGGGAACAGTGAAGGTACAAAGTAACTTCATACTTGCATAGCACAACAGATTCAAATCTAACACAATATATGCCAAGATGGACCTTTTTATTATTAATGTATATTTTCACTCACCAACAAGCAAATTTAGCATGATATATGCAATGATGACATAAAATGAACAGAAATACATAAGAGCACCAGCATAATTTCCACAGTCTGTTTTCCAGTAGGTGCTGTTATCGGGCGTACAAAATGGAGGTTGAACCTTCAAAACAAATGAAAACAAGGTCAGTCAATCATAAAGAGAGATTCTGAACTTCTCTTCAATAAACACAATACGCATGACTATCACCTTTTTAAAGCTTCACAAATAGGGAATAATGCTGTGGGCATTACTGTGGGCAGTTTTTTGTTGTTCCTTTAGCAGTCAGAAATCAGACAACAGAGGGAGGTACGACAAAAGAGGAGTAGGCATGGATCTCACTACCTCACACAAGGCACATTGTGCATTATGCCACTGTAAAGAAACAACTTGGTGTTCTGAAATGTGGTGGTTTTCAAAACACTTTCCTGCTCATTGATTTTAAAAAGGAAGGGAATAATATGATTTTCATTGCAATAGAAATCTCAGACCGAAATTTACTTAGGGGAAATAAAATGATTCAAGGACAAATTTTGAGGTCATTAAGATCACCATTTACATGGAATGAGCCAAAGTGCAGGCATTAAAGACAAAGTTAATCTGAAAAGTCACCTTGCTGCAGTTAAAGCAGAGATAACAGTGGAAAAGCAAGTTACTGCACTTCTGATTTTGAAAAAGTCTTTTATTTTTGTTTTTAAACAATATAATAATATAGCCCCATGAAATATTACATCCTGAGTGTGTGATCTAAACTGCAATTTGTGTGCCGTGTTCTGAGGTTTAGTGAACATTACAGCTTCTGAAGAAATAAAGGCAATCACAACTTTCCTTGTACAAAGCTAAGATACTGGAAACACTCCGAGTTGCAAGGGTGTCTCTTGTTTCTTGTTTATTTTATCTCTGGCAGTATTGTATTTACCATGCAGTCATGCATAATTTTGTTCCAGTCTTCTCCAGTAACTATTCTGAAGAGTACAGTAATAGCCTTGCCAGCTGATGAAAAATTCGCATGTCTGTTTTAAACAAAAAGAGAGAGATCAGTTCATATCCCAGAGCGAAAATGTTGGCAAGAAAAAATGCAAACCATTTCCATCTTCTACTGCCCTACTATTTTAGACTGAAAATAGTGACAGTATTATTTGAATGAGCTCACTGAATTATTTATTCCATGACTTAAGATGTAACAACTTAACTTTAGCTCGGACAAAGGTATGAGTATCTCAGCTCATTTTATCAAAGAGTAAAAGCAGACTTGGGGCCAAATCCTATCTCTTGTCTCCATTTTTTCCTAAAGCCTGATGATGTTATTGATTGGGAAATCTCCAGTTAACAGCCACTTCACAGAACTGTCCCCTCTCTGTGCCAGCCTGGTATACGGACCCTGTTCCTGGGTGATGCTGACAAGGTGTAGTAGGCACACTGTGTTTCAGCAGCTTGCAGAGAGCGCAGTGCTTCTTTGAAGCATATTTGAAGCAACTGGCACAATGAAGAGCATCTCTCAGTCTGCTCCGAGTTGGATTGGGTGCCATTTGGTTCAATGCATGAAGTCTGGAAAGATGGCTCAGTGCCTCCTATCAGAAATTCTGTTTAGAGTTCTTCATCTAGAGCTGGGGACTTGTCTGGTTTTTACCATGGATAGACCTCTCTCTAGCAGAATGTGATATTTCAGGCTGTTTAAAGAACTACCATGAGGTAGTACATACTGTACCTGTTAATGTTCTCTCCGTATTTCACTGTACCAAATAAAACCACTCCAGCAAAAGCATAACAAAGAAGCAATAAGAACATGCCCACTATGATGAAGAAACTCTTGTACATGCTGACAACCACAGTCAGGAGTAGCATTTTTAGTGTCACCTGGAAGGGCAGAGAAAAAGCAATCCATTAAGCCATGCAGGAAAGCAGAGATAAAAGGGAACAGAGAGTTATTGCACTTGCCATTTTGACAACAAATTCTTTACATGTATGTGTTAATGGATGAACCCAGTGAAATGGTACATTATGAATCTGATTGGAACTGAACACTTTTTGTCTTCCTCTGAAATTTAGTGTGCTTTTTACTTGTTAAAGAGTAATTAGGCATATCTACCTAATTCATAAGGTCAAGATGTAGCTCCTCAAAGAGTATATATAGGATAATATAGTGTAGGATAATACAGCAATAACACAGCATAAGTTTAATTATAATACTCCAGGATCAGTATCCTCCAGAAGTATCAAAATTAGCAATGCATTAACAATGGTGCAGTACACTGCTTTAGGCTTATCTGAAAGTGATGCTAACTGTTACGTGGAAACCACAGATACTGCAGCCTACCTAAAGAAATGTATTGATGTATAGAGAAGGAGATTTCCTGAAGATCAGCATAGCTTGATTAAACCACCAAATTTCTCACACACATTTGCCAAAGAGCTTAAGAAGAGACTATGTAATTTTGGAAATTACATAGTCAGTAGGCCTAAGTAATAGACACTACTCTCCCATGCATGCCTATTGTACATTTTACTCTTGATAAAGTTATTGCCCTAGATTGCCCTAACACCCTTAACCACTTTGGATGCTACGGAAAATTCTCTTTAATGGGACTGAGGGTAGCAGTTTTTGTTAGAATCATGTCAAACTGGTAACTCATGCTGACTTTTAGCCATCACATTCCTTAACAACAGATAAATTTGTGAAACTGATGCAGCTCCTAACATGAAAGCACAAATGAGTAGCTTAAAACCTTGAAAAAACTTTAGAATCAATCAGAAAGCTTTGAAGGCAATCACTCAGCCAGGCTGCATAGGAGAAGCAAGGATTTTTCATTTGACTTCCAAGGATCTACAGGCTCTGTGTAGTTTGATTGAAGGAAAACTTTTTATCTTTACTGAACAAACCCTCTGACTTACTGTTCTTAACCCCAGCAACCCAGTATAGCAGTCTTTTTATCACATTTACTTTAATATGTCACACTTCACAGAAAATGTTTGGATAGTCTAAAAAGTTCTACAGCAAGAAAATGCAGAGTGTCACCACTTGTTCGTGTTTGAACAAACGTGTTTGTTCTCTGTCTGTGCTTATTCTGCCAGCCTACTCTCAATCCAAACACAAAAGAAATATAAACTTCAGACGTCACTTGCTTTGTCACCATCTCAGTGTTTCCAGAAAAGTATCTCGGCCCAATATTTTCCTAAATTGAACATAAATCCTTTACTGTGATGAGACATACATTGTAGAAACATAAGACACAGACCTGCACTCTGGAGGAAGAAACCTCTATAAGAGAGCACTGTCACAACAAGATGAGTGCATCAACCACTACTCCACTAGTCTTGCAGAGAAAATAAAAAAATAGCATGCGCTTCACACCACACTGAAATGGCAAGGACTCAAAGTAGCACAATGTATGCTCAGAGTTTCAGAGAGCATTTGTTAAAAACTGTGGTATTGTAGTTGCACTTTTTTTTAAAAATGTTTTTTCCAGTAACCATAATACAGTGCTATTATACAATGCACCTAAAATCCTGACATTTTAAAGACACTGTGTAAAACTGGAGACTGTTACTTGAAGTCTCCTTTTTTTGGCATATAAAATAGAGCCTTACAGAATTTGCACTAGAGATGCATATGTCATGGCAGCACAGCAACTAGTCCTTTAGTCTGTACAAGAGCACTGCAATGGCTGTGGTTCCTAACTTATACTTACGTGCTTCCCACAAATTGAGAAAAACCTGAAGACAATTACGCATGCCCCCATCATGTATGTGTATGCATTCTGTAACAGAAACACAGAGGCCTGAATACATTGTCCCCAAGGGATCTCACTGAAAGATCAGGATAATTGGTCTCTTAATAATGTAAATGAGTTGCCATATGAAATAAGAGAAATCATGAACCAGTAGCACCAATATTTCAATAACAGTGGAGCAGTAAGAAACCAACAGAAGATGCTCTAGCACTTCAAAAACACTAACCCAACCTCCCCACACATTAAACCAAAAAACCTTAAATCCTTTATTAGTTGGGCTGTAATCATGTCCAGCAGCCCCAGTCTACTTGTCTAGGCAGCTGCTGGTTTACAGAAACTGCTCAGGCTTTCCAAGCTACTCAGAAGCAGGGAGCAAACTGTGGATGTCAGGGCAAAAGGACTAGCCACACAACACAGGTTTTCCTCCAAACAAAGCCTGAGGCAGACAAGAGAAGTCCTCAGTCATTTTAGGGTGATGACTTCCACACCTTGTGATTGGCAATTATTTTTCCCTCATAAGTAAGGGAACCAGAGGTATAGACAATTTAAAAAAACCTGAGACGATATGGAAGGAGAGCTGATTTCCTCTCTTCCATGCCTTCTTGGATTAAATACAGCCTCTTAATCAAAACCAATGGTCTAGAATCACTGCTGGGTTTGAGACAGATTGTACTGTTCAGCAGTTTTGAACCTATGCCTTTTCCTAGTCCTCTGTTCCTATCTGGATTTTGCGCATTGCCTCTTTCTTCCTTGCTGCTCATTAGACTGCTGTTGGCAAGAGCTCTCAGTCTCTTCAGGTTCCTTCCTTTCCTCACTCACATCCGTTCCAAAGACTTCAGTTTTCTACTGCATTTACAGACTCTGATATGAGTATCAGACAACTTTTGTAATTCATCATTGCCCAAGACAAGGATTCCTTCTTCTTAGCATCAAGCTTAATTTGCTTCACCCATATTTCAGTCTTATTAAACTCCTAAGGGTTTATCTGGATGTATAGCAGTGATCCTGCTGCTCATGGTTAGCAGATAAATCAAGCTTAATAACTGAAATTATGTTTTGTAAATCTTACCAGTAAGGCAAAATGAAGTATCACCCATATAACTCCAAGAGATGTCACCAAGAGATCATACCGATTTCTTCTGCTTTGCCAGAAGCCAGAAGGTGACATAGCAATAATCTTCATTGTGACCTATGGATAAAAACAATTTCTCAGTTGTACCAAATAAAAGGTTATTTTTTACTATAAGAACCTCTAAAATGTTTGATTGAGTTAATCTTATGTATATTTTCAAGCAACCAAGGGGAGGTTTCATATCAGCTAACTGTTCCCATGTGGACAAGTTAGGCTTCTAGACTAAGTGGACCATATAAGCTTCCCTTAGATGGAGGAAAGCTCCTCCATCTACTTGTGGAAGACTACAGAAAACTGAGACAAGGGGATGAACAGTATTGTGGAAGTGTCTCTCTCCACCAAGTATTGAAGGAGTGCATCTGACCACCTCAGACTGAATGCTAAATATATAGATTGCTGAAGTGAATGTGGGCTTAAGATTTCTAATAGCTAAGTAAATTATGAAGTTAGAAAATTACTATATCAGCAATATGTAGCTAAAAGACGTAGTAGTATCCTATCTATGTATCTGTCCATAAGCAGGGTAAAATCACGTAAGCACATTTCAGCTCAAGAATATAACCGTGTTCTATAGCTCACATATTTCAAATTAATTAAAAAACCACTATTATATGGCAAATATTTCTTGCTTTAAGGAATAATCTGTACTTAGCACCATCTATACTCAGCATTGTGTAAGAGAAGAAAGCTAAGAACAGTAAAATAAATACATTTTATAATGTTCCTGGTAAAAAACAGCAGCCAAAGTGCTTGACATTTCCAGTATAGGTAATAGGAGTGCAGGCAGGAAGCTTAAGAATAGGTACTGCTAAGAAATAGTCACAAGAGCTAACAGATATCAAAGTAGGGTGATGTAGGTAGAGGGAACACCACAGAGTTTTTCATACACAATTCATATTAAACCTTGAAGCAAGTCAAGTGTTACTATATAAAGGCTATAAATGTCAGGCATTCATCATATGATTTTTTTCCACCCCACCTTGCAACACTGCAATTTGGTAGTATTCTTTATATTTCAAAAATCTAAACTATATAAAAGGACATTAGCTTGAGGTAAAAGTCTGATTTTCCAGTTAGTTTTTTGCCATATAATGTTTTCTGAAGCCTAACCACAAAATGAAGAATACAGTCTCTGAATCTCTAATTCCCATTTGAGCTACTTGAAGGTATCTTGCCTCACCTCTATCCAGTCAGCTGAGATGCCCTAGAATAGTGGAGATAGATGCATGGGGCTGGCAGGGATGACACAAGACCTGCAAACATCCCTGCCCTTCTGTAGCAGCTAGTGGAGATAAGGGCACATCAGCTAGGGTGCCCAAAAAAGCTTTTGATGCCTTTAGTTATTTAGGCAACTGAATCTCACTCTACATCTCCCTTGATCACAGTGACAGTTTAAACATCTACCTCACATGTAGACTTCAAACACCTAAGTTCAGATGTCTATAATCTTGAACTGAACACCACACTGTGCAAATAGAGAATTCATTTTTTTCTCACTTTTTTCCTGTGAACATCAGTGTGGCAACAAAAGTGAGATCTCTGAATTCTTCCTGTTCTTCTATACCATATATACTGAGGTGAGCAGTAGAAGTTTAAGACTGAATCAGGAGTCCTTAGACAGGGCCATTAACTATGCAGAAAGCTTTGGCCTTCCTCATGGATCATGTCTGCTAGTGGGAGCAGACCATGTAGAGAGCAGACTCTGTAACCAGACTGTGCTGCTTTAGGAAAGATACTGGGCAGGAAGCTGCTTCCTCTGTCCGTAAATCATGGGCACTCACAGTGTGATAGCTTGCCTGTTGAGACAGTCAACAAATTTTTCTCGGCTCTGACAAAGTTCCTTTGAAATCCTAGAACTGTATTTGTTTCCCCTGGCAGTATAAGAGAAAAAAAGTATTTCTAAAGACATAGTTACTAGGTAAATTAAAACCTGTCTGTGTATGATACAAATAAAACTTTTCTGTGTTTGCTCAGTCTCTCAAGAGATATTGATTTCTCCTGACTAGGGAAAAAAGAAGCAACAACACCAACATACTCTAGCTACAGCTGCTACAAGGTATTCACTTCATTTTTTATTCATCACTGCTGGCAAAACCTATCACTGGAACATAGAAACTGTCATATTGGATTAGAGCAGTGGGAGATGTAGTCTACTATCCTGTTTCTGATAGCGGTCAGTATCAGCTATTCAGAGGGGACTGAAAAGAAAATACTCAACCACAAACTTAGAATTATGTACTAACCTAACCACAGAGGAAGCATCTTCTTTAACCTCATAAATGTGTGCTTTGTTACACTATGGATATCCTTATACATAAAAAAATAAATATGCTTTAAAAAATGTGTTTAAGTCCTTAGATTCCACTCTTATGAAAAAAGGCTAATTACATTTTGCATGGTTGATTGTGGTGACAGTTTTCTCATAGATAGAGAATCATTACCACATAGGATCCAGATCTGTACAACAAACGATAGATAATACTGGAATTTGACATAGCTTATTTAAAGGTATTAAAATAAAGTATGATAATTAAACAAAACAAAACAAAACAAAACTGAGAGAGGTTTGATGATGTCACAGCTACAGAATGGTGATTAATGCACCCTGTTCCAAAGAACCAGGTAAAATAGAAATGGATCAAGCAGAACTTCCTTGATACAACACAGAGTTTGTGTTCTACAGAGTGAATTTAATCCAAGATGTTCAGCAATAAAAGAGTTCATTGGGTTCGCCAAAACACAAGTTTACATGCTCTGAGTTGAATATATATAAAAGAACAAAAAGCTGAAGGTTGTAGAAAAGCATGACTATAACAAATTAAAAGTTTATTCCTACAATCCGTGTTTCAAGACAGGTGACATGGAGAGTCCCAAATGTACACGTTCAGAAATAAAATCTGTAGTGAAGAATGAGACAGCATCCCTAAAGCCAAAATAAAATATATGCATACTAGTCTTAATCTCAAGAAGTCATAAAATAGATTACCTCAAGGACAAAAATGAAGGTGAAAACAACAGACATTGTTGCTAAAGGCACAGTCACTGGATCTGCAGCATCCCACTGAAATGCAAACAAAATCTGCTTATAGAAGAGTAGCTGTTAAGGACAACTAAATGTCTATTCATTACCTTAACTTTTCTTGCAGGTTTTTTAATGAATAGAATTCATTTTAAAAAAATATTCAGACACGAATGCCATCTTGGTGTATTCTTTTCTCACAGATTTATGGCTTAACTGGAAATTAAAAATAGTGGACCAGACTACAAAAAGGCAGAAATTGACTCAGTTCCACAAGTTACAATTAATCTACAGTGATCTGTGCCAACTGAGACTGCTGTATCTGGAAATCATGTTTCCCTACATTCATCACAGTAATGGCTCAACTGATCATTAATTGGTGTTAGGAAATGTGCAACACATGCTGTACTACTCTAACAAAACACTTTAAAAACCCACAATTACCTTAACCGATAACAACACAGACTGGGCCAGAACAAGTACAGCAATAGTTCTCTTAAAAAATGGATGCTGAGTTATATCATACATCTTAGCTCTAAAGCCATCATTATCTGAAAAAGAAAGAGTTTGAAGAGGAAAGTTAAAATATACAGTGGTATTTTTCCCCTATTTCTTGATATATTTTCTATGTTCATTAGTGGCAAAATAATCCTTTACCAGTTTCAAAATACATTTCTAATTTTCTGCTACAATTTTCCATATCAAATAGGGCTTCTGAACATATAATTTCAAATACTGAACACCAGTGTTGCATGAAAGCTTTGGTACTTGTAGGGCAACTGCATCATTCAACTGCTGTCAGGTTAATAAATTCCATTCATATCATTAACAGCGAACTGCAAATATTTTTCATTTAGAAATTCATTTTTTCATTAAGGCTTATCCTAAAACCATCGAAGCACAACCTTTTTTGGGTTGATTTTAATAGCCTTATGCAGAGATCTGTAGTTGGAGCCTATTTCCACATTAACTTATGCACAACCTCCTAGTGGTCGCACTATTACAATTTTAATTTGAATCTCAGACTCCTGGGGAATTATGAACACTAGGGCTCAACATGAATAAAATCAAAATATCTTTGATACCCGGACGAGGTGGGAGATGAAGAGGTTGTGCTATCTTCAGTCTGCTTTTCAGATCTTCCCATCGTCTCTGATCTACAGTCAGTAAAGCTGTCCCCTTAATAAACAAAGAGAATCGTATAAAGCTTTTGTCATATAAAAGCTAGAACATTTAATGCTGTAAACATGAAAACAACGTTCCCTTTGGTGCCTGAAATAAAGTTACACACACAAGTCTCCTTAAATAACACACTGTTTGGGTAAAGGAGTCTGAAGTATCAGCTGGTACTCAAGAGGATTTCTGGATGCATTAGTTGTGAATTTCTGGGACTCAACTCAGCAGGCACAGTTGTTGCTCTTTGCAGCAGCAGCCCAGTGTGGGCAGTGGAACACTGCAGGAGGTCTTCCATTTGACCGAACGTTATTTGTCAGGAAGCACTGTTTTAAAGAGTGAGTGGTCGATTTTGTCCGGACTTTGCTGCTGTGGCTTGTCAGTGCTGCTACAGTTTCTCAGGGAAACGAGCTCTCTAGGAGACCGCTGCTGCTCACCACAGCTCTTCTGCTTGGGTGTAATTGAAATAAAGTAATAGTATGCTATGAATCTACAAGAGCTCCCCACAAAGGGAGCACTTGGAGAGGTGGAGATACACCTTTAGGGTGGGTGGTGGTAGATGGTAAGGTGTGTAGGTGTTTTCATAACAGGAAGAAATAAGCAAGCCCCAAACAGAATTCAATGTTACTTAAAACAATCTTCAAAACAAAATGAGGTCCTCATCACTTCAGAGAAATGTAAAATCTCATGGAAGGAGTCTGGAATTACAAAAACAGGTGAGACCTTTTCAAGGTAAATGTCAAAAGCCTGTCTCCCAGACACTTGGCTTCTCTCACAGAGCTGCACTGAGCTGGGCAAAGATCTCTGGGGCTTGCCTCAGCATTGGCTTGTGTAGGCACTGGAACTGTGCCTGGCTGTGAGACTGATAAGGTCAGGAGAGCTCCCTCTCAGTGGACATAAACTCTTTATGGACAGGCATCCCCAAACAGTACCTGGGAGGAGGTGCCTTCCAACATGATGTGGACAAAGCAACAGATGTAAAGATGCCTATTACTCGTGTTGGGCCCAAACCATACTGTTCATCATGGAATCATAAAATAGTTTGGGTTGGAAGGGACCTCTAAAGGTCATCTAGTCGAATCCCTCTGCAGTAAGCAGGGACATCTTCAACTAGAATAGGTTGCTCAGAGCCCCATCCAGCCTGACCTTGAATGTTTCCAGGGATGGGACTTCTCCACTTCTCTGGGCAACCTGGTCCAGTGTTTCGCTACCCTCATGGTTAAAAATTTCTTCCTTATATCTAGTCTAAATCTAGCCTCTTCAAATTTAAAACCATTAAGTTTGTCCCCATCTTTCCTATAGGCCCCCTTTAAGTATTGAAAGGCCAAAAATACATTGGCCTTCTGGGCTGTGAGCACACATTGCTGGGTCTTGTTCAGCTTTTCATCCACCAGTACCCCCAGGTCCTTCTCGACAGGGCTGCTCTCAATGTCTTCATCCCTCAGTCTGTATTGATACCAGGGATTGCCCGACTCAGGTGCAGGACCTGGCACTTGTCCTTGTTGAACCTCATGAGGTTCACACAGGCCCACTTCTTGAGTTTGTCCAGGTCCCTCTGAATGGCATCCCATCCCTCACGCATGTCAACCATGCCACTCAGCTTGCTGTCATCTGCAAACCTGCTGAGGGTGCACTGAGTTCCACTGTCCATGTAAATGATGAAGATATTAAACAGTACTGGTCCCAGTATGGACCCCCAGGGACACCACTCATCACCAGTCTCCATTGGGACATTGAGCCATTGATCACTACCGTCTGGATGTGACCATCCACCCAATTCCTCATCCACCGAACAGTCCATCCATCAAACCCATATCTCTCCAATTTAGAGAAGAATGTTGTGGGGGACCATGTCAAAGGCCTTATAGAAGTCCAGATAGATGACATCTGTAGCTCTTCCCTTGTCCACTGATGCAGTTGCTCCACCATAGAAGGCCACTAGGTTGGTCAGTCAGGACTTGCCCTTGGTGAAGCCATGCTGGTTGTCTAAAATCACTTCCCTGTCCTCCATATGCATTTAGAAATACTTAATTTAAAAGGCAACTCATTTACTCCAATGAGCATGTCTGGTTTATATTCTTGGAGTGCTTTCACTGCAAAGAAGACAAAAGGTGGCAAAAAAGTAGATCTTTGTAAAATTTACAAATAGTGATGCCAAGTCACTCCGTTTCAAAGACACTACCACGTCCGCCAGTGGGATCATTACAAGGGGACCACAGAGCAGAGCCCTGGACTACTGCTGGAAGAGCTGTGTTTGCATTTGGACTTCATCTCAAAACTGCCATATAATATTTGAGTCAATCACATCTTCACTGCCAATGGAACATATGGCCCTTGGGAGCTGTGGCAACTGACAGGTGGGGGTTGTGAAATGGTGGGTGGTGGAACACTTTGAGCTACTGCCCTCTCACTGGGACAACTGAGGACTCAGCCCAGAGCTGCCTGTGGTATTTCTCAGTCCAGTATCTCCAGGCCTGCACCTCCAACAGCTCACATGAAACACTACAGCATATCTGAAAATATTTTGTGGGTTTTTTTTAGAAAATTGTTAATTCTCATAGTTTGTTCAGTAATTGTTCAACTCTAATCCCCTTCACCAGCTCCTGGCACTACTCTAACCATGTATCAGGCATGAACTTTCTAAAGCCAACATCTACTTAAAACACCAATAGCTTGGCCAAGTAACAAGTTTTAAGAAGATGTAACGTAACCTCACATAATGGACTAGTTTGCTCTATTCTTTCTATTCCAATTGCTGGCCTTCTCTCTATCTTACTTTTTTTTTTTTTTTTTCAGTTCCTGGACATTTCTTCACTCTACTTGAATGTTGATTGGGCTGAGATTTTTTTCCCTCACTGCATAATGAAATAACATATGCATCTTTTCAACTTAAATCTGAAGAGGTTTTCTTTTCCCTATAGTAAATACATAACAAACAAAAGGTATTCAAGAAAAAAAAGAGAAAAAAACACAAACCAAAACCAACATTACCTGCCACAGCAGCTACCTGACATTACTAGGAAACAACTGAAGAAGCTGAACCACATGACAAAAATTATTTATACTGACTGCATTTTTAGTATGATGAAAAATCTATAGAAATATTGCATGATGTGCCTATTCAGTGTAATTTACAGGGAACAGTTATTAGTGAGTAGCTTTTCTGATGTTCAGACTAATGCCTTCCTTGTATTCAGAAATGGAATTGAGGGAGGAGAGCATTCACATCTGAAAAGGTGGCTGTAGTTTGAGGAAAACATACAAGCAGAGAAAACCACCCCAAACCAATAGATGATTTCCTGAAAATAACAAGAGCCCTTATTCAGGCCCTACAGCTCAGACATCCACATTTATGCTGGCAGTTCATGCAGAGGCAATGTGGGCAAAGATTAATTGTTTAATTATCTCCTGTGATCACAATCCTTATAAGTCTCATGTTCACACCTTCCTGTTGCTTCTCATTTTGAATCACAGTGAACATAAAAAAACCCTTTAAATTTCAACATGAGTTTGAGCTGTCCTGTTTCTTTAAAGCTGCATATCTAGGAGGAGGGAATTAAATATGAATCTAACATGCAGTCACATATAATTAAGGGCTTAAGGGTTTAGGCTATTTATTTGGCTCACATCCTGTTAGACTTCAATTCATGATGCCTTGCTTGCCCAGATTGGACACGTGGTAGTGTGCTGCTCAGCTCTCTTGCAGAAAGAGTCAAGTGCTTTTCTTAAAGGGCAAACTCAACAGTTGTGTTTTCTATAGAGTTTGGGTCAGGGATATAGTAGGGCCATGGCCAGCACCCAGTTTGTCTCCAGGACTAGCACACTGAGTTGTCTTGCATCCCCAAGCCCCAGAGTACACAATATTCCTTTCCCTCTGGTGCCATGAGTGATAAAAATATCATTGTAGCTAGCTGCAACACAGACATCTCATTATTTTGGGGCACTTTGAACTGTAAGATGATAAAAATTAATAATTATGTCTTGGTGCCACAGGGGCACCACAAGAGGCTCAGAAAAAAAGTCAGATTAAGGGCTGTGTGTATGCAGCAGTCCCATCCAGAAGATGCTGTCATTAAGCAGTGTAGACACGAGGTACTCTGTAACAATTCACCTGGGGACAAGTTTTTCTACTTTTCAAGGCAATCTGCAAAGCCCATGTGGACTTCAATTTGTTCCTAGAACACTAGCTACCCTTTTGTTTGAGTGATGTACAATTAATTTTACAATGTACTCCACTGTTTGTGAGGTAAAAGTCATGCAGCTTTACTTTGGATCTGAAATACTGCAATTGCTGGGCTCTAATGAGACCCCTTATTTGTAACACGTGCAAGCATAGCACGTCTTTTTACCTGCCACTGCATGTACGCTTACATCAAACTAGAACAGCAAAATGTGGTGCATCTGTAAATACACTGTGCTTTAGATTTAATCTCCTGGCAAAATGGCTGCATTGTAAACAAACTCAGAGAGCTTTGAAAGA